AAGCTAACCAGCTCCCTTTTGGCAACCTATACTTGAATAAAAACAGTTAGTATATAGTTCTGGCCTGCTGAGAACGACATGGACTGATAACCGTAGGCTATACTTAGGAAACTTGCTCACCGCTAGCTACTACATAGATTTGGCATTTAGAGTAGAATATTGTTAAAAGGGTAGGCCTTTGTAAGTTAGAACTTAAAAATGCGCCAAGCCTCTACTAGAGTCTAGGCTAGGCCTACTACTCAGACGAGGCCTGAGCCATCCTCCTGGAAAGTTAAAGTTTTGTTGTATTTGTATGGTATGCCGTCTAGGCTTAATTGTTTTTGCCATTGCCAAAATTAGTCTTACTAGGGTCTATTCTAAATATTTTATTAGGGAGGACTATTTAAATTTAGTCATGCCTAACTAGTCGACGCGAGCGGCGAGTGACTCAGTTTCGTGGCTCCAAAGATATGAAAATTTGATTGGTTGAAATTGTTTATTTCGGTCCGCCCATTTATCCAAATACAGAATATAAGATTACGTCATTCTTTTGGCATCCTGGCGCCTGACTTCAGTGTTTTACAAGTCGCTTATTCCGTCTATCTCTAAATTAACTTTCTCGTTGGTGGCGCTGTCCAGAATGAGAAAAATAATTTAAAAAAATAAGAGACTTGTGGCAAGTCTAATTAAGGGTCTATGCAAAGACTGGAAGATGCAAAGAATGGAAGACTTTTGAACCTATTAATTGGTGAGCAATATAGTAAATTTATAATACATTTGATCTTCTGAATGCAACTGTTCTTAGCTGGGTAATATAAGGTCATCTAACTTAATAAGTTGGATGCATTTTATGACAAAGTAGGTGTTGTATAAAACAAATAATCAACTTTTTCATTAATAGACAATGGGATGGAATATCTTATTTGATGCAGAATGAAATGTTCCATTCAACATGGCGATGCCCAGCGGTGGCAGCAGTGGGGTCAGGGCCAGATTAACATGGGGGCTTTTGGGGCACCAGCCCACAGAGGAAAAATAGATCCCTGAAGCCCAGGAAAAATCACCGAAAATCTGGTTTTATGTTTTAGCCACAGAGTATTTAGGCCCACTTGCAATTACAGACCCAGGCCCCACAGCCCCTTTGGTTTAGACCCCTTGTCGGCAAATTTCTGGAGCATCACTGGCGATGCCATGTTGGAGGAACTTTCTATCTTTCAACTCATAATTCTATTCTATTCTATAACACACCTAAATAGATCCCAGTCATTTAATTGGTTGATTTCGTACCATGTGACATTAGTTATTTTGCCCATTTCATCGCTCAGCGTTAAAATTTTGTCCATCATGCATTTTTTCCCCATCCGAATCGTCCATTGCACGTTGCCTAAGATGTGATTACTTTTTCCGGAAGGTTAAATCCAAAAATGATATTACGCCCCCTATAATCCTATCCCTCTTTTGTTTTGACTCTTAAGCGGTGGTTCGTACAGCTCAGCTTGTCTTAACTTTAGCATTGTGCAATGTATTGGAGATTTTATTAACTGTTAAGTATTTTAATTGCGTGGATGATATCTCAAAAACTAGCTCAAACTTGCGCAAAATCTTTGAGGAATTTTCCAAAATGCACTGACGGATTTCTAGCCCTAGGATTTGCATGGAGGATAGGCCTAAGCCAGGCTAGGCTTAGGCTAGCTAGGCCGAAGCGATCTATTTGGGTTTGTTATAGAACAAATAATGAATGTTTTGTATTCGTACAATGGAAATAATATTTTCATTTTTTCCATTCAACTTATGAAAATATTTTTCCCATTGTACTCATTCATTATTTGTATACCATTGCACTTATGAAGCGTTAAAAAAGAGTTAATGCGTTCATACCAGCAGTCGCCATTCAATCTTCCAAGGACATACGCTGCACCTCCTAAAACATACAAGGTTGAAAAACACACTTGTGATTGTTGAATATATAAATATATTAAACAGGTCTCACTCTAATTAAAGACCACTACAATTAAAGACAACCTCCAACTAAAGACTACTTTTTTGTAGTCGCAAATTAACAAATGTCTTTTATCTTTATTATTCTAATTGGAAACCAAAGCTGTTAAAGGCCATGGAAACCCCAGTATCAAAGGTGGAAGGAATTGGAGAAAGACCTGTAATTAAGTATGGTTAATTGGTGTACGTATAATAAAAGAGTGATAAAAAGGAACAATTATGATAGTTATCAACATTGATTATAACCAAATGTGTATAAATGATCTGTATTTATCCAAAAAGCAATAGAATTAAGTATAGTACAACAAAAACAAGACATACAAAACAACTTACCTGGAAAATAGTTTTCCAGTATTTTCACTTCCTCTTCAAATCTCTGGTAGGTTCGGTCCTGCAGGTCAGGTCGAATGAAGTTCTTCCGGGAGTAGAACACGTCCTGTGTCAAAGATTGAATGACTGAATAACAGGCAATCACTTTGAATTTTTTATTTGTGAGTCTCTTTTTGGAATTGTTTTTACTGTGCATTAAATATAATCCTACATGAATTAATATATTCATTCATTTTCAAACAGCTGTATTCAATCATCTGTCAATGTGTTAGCTGTAATTAAGATTTATAATTGGAAGATGCATTCACCACAGTACTGTATATTGTTAATTTTAAGATTCTTTATGTTTGATATTTAATTTATTATTGTGGAATTTACTGTATTGGCAAAATGAATGAAAAATAAAACAGAAATTAATATAGAAGTTATTGATCTTTCTCCATACAATAGATTGAGTTGATATCTGAATCAATATAATTATAACAAAATTTATTGACATTTAAAAACATTGTTCAATAAGCAATACCTACTGTACCTCAACTTTGGTGAAACCACAGTATTTTTCCGCTACTTTTAGTAGCGTGGGAATGCAGTCCAGGGGTGTGGTGGTTCCACATGTCTTCAGAATAAATCGTCGCTTAGCAACAAACATGCTACTTTCACTGTAGACAAAAGGGATAATAAAAAAAGAAATGAAAAATAATTATTATATTAGCATTATGTGGCTTTGCTCTGCAGCTCATTAAACAGGGCTTGAAATTAACTTTTTTTCTTGGTAGCACTGCCAACATTTTCTGGTACCCCCCAAAAAAATTTGGTAGCACAAGTAATTTTTTTAGTAGCACATATTTCCCGATCCTTTTCGCATCCCACAAGATAATAAGCGCTGCGCAATATTTTATTCTTTATATTACCTAAGAAACCCCCACCCACACCTACACTGTCCCCATGGATTATTATGCAAGAAAGAAGACATGAAAGGAAAAGAGAAGAGATTTTTAAAAATTGAAAAAAAAAAACAATAAAAATAATAAATAAGAAATAACAAAAGGGGAAAAAAAGAAAGAAGTAAAATGGTGGAAAGAAAATGACAATGAAAAAACTAAAAGAAAGGTAAGTATCAAAAATGAAATAAGAAAAAGGATGAAACAATATTAAAAAGAAAATAGATATTAAAGGGATAGTAAAGAAAAAAGGTGCAAGGTAAAAAATTCAACCTAACTGGAAGGAAAGGGAAAGTATTTCATGTAAAGTTTCAATTGTTAGGAATATTTCTAAGAAAATTACAAATTTCTGTTAATTATTAACAGATATACACAATATAAAAAAGAAAAACATGAGCAGTAATAATGTGCTAGCTAAACTGTCTAGTCAATGGACTGCCAAAATCTGCAGTTACTTAAGTGGATTGATATATTGATTATAAAATTATTAATTATTATTACTGAAATATTAATTATATTTTCTGTACACTTTCTTTAAATTTTTCAGTATTTTTCTTCATTTGTGCAGGAAATTTCGAGAAAATAGGTCCGCATAATCGTATTAACACTGCAAATGCCTATACATTGGTTACAATAGCCACCGGCCGACTTTACTGCAACATTTGGGCGGAAATTGGCAGACTTGCGTGGATGGAATTTTCTCTTTATGAGATAACTCTAAAACAATTTACACATAATAATTTCAACCTAAACAGAGTTCCAGAGTTTTCACCAACATTTCGGGAGTGCTACGATTCCAGCTCCCCACTTGTCAGAGGCCATTTAGGCTTCGTTTTAAGCCCGAAAAATTGGCATCACACAGTCGGCCGGCGACACTTCTTATTTAGGTTATAATGTAGCCTAGGACATTAGGCCTGTACAACTTCAGCAAAGTATCTTATACCTACATATATAACGATCTATAGTTTCATTTTCTTGTTCAATGGTTGTTTTTATTGAGAATTATTAAAAAAACAAAACTGGTACGCCTTCCAACTTCAAAACTTCTGTACTAATCGCCAGGGAACATCGTCACACTTCTAGTGTTTACAAAGGTTTCGTGGAGTAACATATCCCAAACATTGCAATTTGCCCCAAATGATGTAATATCTCAGCATTCTGATTGGTTTACAACTTGCAATGGACTCAACATACCTTACTCGCCAGCCAGTGTAGTCGGACGCACATGTGGTTTGGGATGTTACTCCGCGAAATATAGTTTCGTAATTGGAAGGCCTAGCTGCTACCAGTTAGTTCGATGTTGTTTTGTTGTTGTCAAAACAAGAAACATTCCTTGTAGAATTATATATTTTTTATATATCTTATAGATTAAATTAACCAATTAATTCAATTGTTGCACTTTATTAATTCCACGTTTAAAATTTAATCTTTAAATATTCATTTATATACAATTTAATTTTTATATTTTTCAAAACACGATAAAACAATCATTTTGCTTACTTTCTGCTGATACTTTGTTAAGAACGAAATAAATTGTTTGATAGAGGAACATTACTAGTTGCCTATGAAATAACTCTGCTTACCATCTACTACATTCAGTGAGAAATGTTCCCAATTCCAGGCTCCTCCTTGTAGACACAGACACCGAGGTTGCCGGACACAAAGTCATTTGACTCTTTGTACGCCGCCGATACGAACAAAAGTAGGTCAGAAGCCGACTGGCTCGTTCAGTAAATAAATGGTAGTAAAGGAGTTGCTTTCTATATTATTTCATTTAATTAGGTTTCAAAATTTGCTGTGAGACCTATTTGTTTGTTTTTTTTGTAAATTTCAAGATGTTGCTCATTGAGATGCATTGTTAAACTATAGCTGCTCCGTGAAGTTTGGCTGAGGTTATCATCAAAGAGTATTGTATACCCTTTGTTATCATCAGCCATGTGATTGAAGAAACGTAATCTTATTTCATAATGTGTGAGGTTTAGGTAATTCGTTTGGTTTTCAATAAAAGATGTCTGCCTTAATACCGGTAGTACTTTGAATATAATCATCCAGATGATGCCTAATTGTATTTATTTACGATCTATTTAGAGTTTAATTTTGATTATTGCTTGATCTGGGCCGTTTACATCATATGAGTCAATACTGTATACGATCGTTTAAAATTTCGGTACATAGTCTATTTTATGAACAAATACGTTAAGGAAACGTTCACAATTACGAGGAGGTACAGGTAAGAGTAGCACTCAATAAAATAGTGAAAAATCATGCAATCCGATGTTTTTATACCAGTCTCATTCGCTTTGACGGTGATCGCTTATTTACCAAGAATAAGATGAGCGCACATTGACACGGTTATAGTGTACAACGTCACACTTTAACAGTCTAGGTCATGCTGATTGGTTGATACAGTACATGTAAAATGAATGATAGCATGTTTTGCGTACTGCCTCACTGAAAATAATGGGCTGTACAAGTTGTAAATAATTGGGATTTGGAGGGAAACCACCTTCCTGCCGCTTACAAAATCTACTCGCGCTACCAAATGACCTTGTCGCACTGAGCGCGACAAAGTTGAATTCCTTGTCGCACCTTAAAAAATCAGGTCGCAAATGCGACCAAATAACCCTTAATTTCAAGCCCTGTTTAAAACATTTAACAAGAAGCAGAATAATTGACCATTATCATCTCATTAATAAAAAATAAACTTGTTTATTACATGATAATAATGAATTCTTCTGCAATGGAGGGGAGGGTGGGATTACACCAGAGAAGCCCTGGTAATAATAATAATAATAATAATAATAATAATAATAATAACTGTAGGTAGCAATTTGATCAGCACAGTTGAATCCAAAAAGCATTGAAAAATTGTTTGATTTAGATAAAATTTGACTTACATATCGTTAATTAATGGAAAACACAACAATTTTGCATGTAAAATAAGATCAACTTAGAAATTATTCGAGTTAGGCAAAATCAACTTAGTAGGCAAGTTTTACTGTATGTATACAACATTAACATTCCTTTTGTTACAGCTTTTTAATTTTTTTTTGTTTTGTTATGAGTGTTGTTATTCAATAATTAACAGAAGGTACTGCATAAATGATGCTGTATTAAGCAAACATATTGAATTAATTTTCAGTCTGCCTTATTAAAATTTTGGTTGCTACAGATGCTAAATATGGTGCACATACCAGTAAATCAATAAATTTAATAACATGTGAATAATACCAAAACTGCTACAGAATTAAATAAAAACCCTTTGTAGTACAACAATAGTGATCGTATTTTACCTGAGAATATAAGAGCATTGTGTGCTGTCAAACATTTCACTAATTATTTCACAGTTTACACGTTTTAACATCTGTTCCCACTCACATCTATAAAAAAATATTGAGCACAATTGAAATTTTAAAAAACAAAATTTTTAAAGAATACTTTATGCATGAAACATTAAGAGATATGTACAGTACATAGTAAAAATACCAATTGGAAAATGTAGCCATACAGTAATAGAATGTGTGTACGTTGAACCGTGGCAATCTCTAGGTCTCCCATTGCTGCTTCCCTTGCGTTTCAGTTACGATCGTGCACGGTCTTTCGAATAAGACGTTTAAGCCGTTGGTCCCATGTGCAATATGGTTTATATGCACGGTAAAGAATGTAGTACACTCTTCGGAAAAAGTGCAGGGGATTGTCTCCCGGTGTATTGCCCAATCACCACCAGAAGGACCCCACTGGAAACAAGTCTTTGTGGGCTTTTCTTGGGTGTGATTTACACTGAAATACTCCTATCCTATCCTACAAGGTACATACCTTGGTATTTTCCTCAGATCGTTACTACCATCATTACTATTATGCTCTTCAAACCAAATTTCAAAGAGCTTCTCAGCGCCCTCGTAGTGTGTCACCTGGTTGGTACAAGGCATTCCATTATTAGAGGCTGCCATCCTTGCATCGCCCTCCTTTTCAAATCAGCCAAGCAGCGTTTACCACTTCAAATACAGTTCTGAAATAACATAAAGTAATAATACATAATAAAATTAATAACACAACTTGTGAGGGCAGGCTTCAAACAAAATGTTGTTTTTCAAGATCAGATGATAAACAGGAAGGAAAAATGATATTTTAAAATGATGCTTTTTTGGCGACTTGTCAATTATTACTGATCCAGATAAAAAAATAAATTATTTATTAATATAATTATTAAATCATCTGCACTGTAGGTCTATACTACTCAATGGTAACTAGGAAAGAGTATTGTATAATTTATCATTTAGCAGATAATACTGTATATCTGGCCTATCTGTAGGCCTAATGCTACCATCATTTACACTTAACCTCTGAATTGCAATATGTATCTATCTATATGTCTGTAGTTTTAGTTAGTCTTTTAACTAGTTTAAGTTCCAACTTTTGTAAGTATTGCAATATGTTTCTTTTTTGTACTGTAGTTACTTGTATTTTGCATCTTTTAAGTGTTTTAACTTTTAGTTTATTTTTATTCTTTGTTGAAGAATCTGGAAAAAAAATTTCATGCGAAACCAAGTTGTGCACGCTGACCAATAAACATTGTAACTTGAACTGACAATATAATAAATACAGTAAAAGACGTACTGTACTACTGTATCTACTTAAACTAACCTTGTCCAAGCTCACCCGCATATGGTAAACACAAGTATGGTAATTGCATGATGATACAGATGATCACCAGTTGTGACTCGAGGCAGCATGGTCTCCTACTTCATCTTCATGCTTGTACTCTCTCTAGCTAGGAAGGAAGGTAGGCCTGGCTGCCTGTTGTTTCCAAATGAGCGCTCGCTGTGCTCTGTGTTTATGCCAATTATGTTTCTTGTGTTGATTTTTTTGTTTAGCTTTCGAGTAACCCGTTAAAATATTTTGTTATCGTATATACGATAAACCGTTTAAACGAATCTTCCTAGTGTAAAAATTTCTCTTATTTCTTTTGTTTTCTATATGAACAATCGCTTTTTAGCTTTTTTATCATTAACGTTATCGTTGAAGTATAAACAAGCATTTAGGCTAGGACTAGACTAGAACGACCCCACAATATTTGTATCGCGTAGGCCCTACGATACGATACGAACCATACCATTACCACCCAACTCTAAAATTAGTTACCTAGTAATAATGAACAGCTTTGGCGGAAATGTTTATGTCAATAAAAGAAACTGAAACTGAAACAATAATAACTGGTGTGGAATCATGCCCAATATATGGCACTCCATACAAATTCCGCGCGCCCGAATACAGGCTAGGCCAAGAAGGCCGGTTCAGAAGGCCAGTGCCTAGCCTCATTATTTACAGATAATGGTGGTACCGAAGAGATACAGACCAAGTGGAATTTAATGACTGTAGACCTAGTTCCAATAGTTATTTAATATTGTATAATAGTTAGTATTTAACAACCAACTAACAAAATTAATCCTACCTTCAGGCTTTCACTTTGATTAACCAAAAGCCATGCCATATGCCGGGTCCGGGCGCATTGGAATTTTAGTTCTTCAGGCGGCGCCCTCATACGAGCGAGACAGAGCCAGAGAGAGAGGGAGCTGAGAGCTGATCTGAGAGGCGGTAACCGTGTCGACGACGGGGAACCTCGAGGAGGTGGTCGTGATCGAGGAAATCGATGGATGGTGACGAAAATGGACTCGAACATCCAAGAGGCCTTAAGAAATTTCGCTCTGCAAAAGATGCAGGCAATTGAAAAAGAAAGGCACAGGTGACTGTTCAGAATAGTAATATAGAATAGAATTGTGCAACCTGATGAATAAAGCCAGTTGTGTTTGAACGGGTACTGTTCTGTATGTAGGGGCCTAGGCCTAGGCTAGGCTAGGCCTAGCGTACAGTGAGTGGTAGGACTTAGCCAGGGGTCAGGCTAGCCTAGGCCCTAGTAACTAGCCTAGTTAGAAGGCTAGAGGCACTAGACTACGGTACTCTAGTAGTAGTCTAGTATAAAAAATAATGGCCTAGCTAGCCCTGCTAGTTACCCGTACTGTAAAGTTTTTTAATTGCGCGGAGGATATCTAAAAAATTAGCTCAAATCGCTAGCAAGAATTCGATCAACTCGGCCACAAAAAGTTCGGCTACAGTCAACTCGGCCACAAGTCAACGACAGTCTCTAGGCCTAGAGAAATGCCACACAGCTCAGGCTTGATATAGAATTCGATCCAACTCGATCACAAGTTGACTCGGCCACAGTCAACTCGGCCCCCATGTGGCCTTTCTCGAAGCCTACCTAGAGACAGTCGTGTTCCCTTCAAGTTTCTCCGATGAGGGACGCTAATCGCGCATGCACTACCGATCGCCGTAAGAATAGCATTGGGGGCTATTTTCATGCCTCATCGTAAAAATAGCCACATACTATATACAGTACATACATACAGTCTGGCTAGCTAGGATCTACCTAATGCTTATCTACTAGGCCTAGGCCCTATCTCGGTGCGAGACCAGTCAATACTTCAAGCAAAAAAGATCCAGTTTTAGTTTTTTTTGCAAATTTTAATTTGTGCGATTTTCTAATCTGACCAAAAATTTAATTTAATAATAGTTTTAGGTCCTAGGCCTATATATGTTTTTTAAATACCGTACAACACTTTATGATCAGTGTGGCACTCACAATCATAGTGGTACATTCAAAAGAGGGTAAAAAGCAAGTACTATATTAAATCACATAAATAGATAGATTGTTAGTCTTACCCATATTTGGCAGTGATGTATCTATTGGGTATGGGAAAGCTATTTTCCCTCACCAGTCTTCCACCAGTTCTCTCCCCCCCCCCACACACAATTTACAATGTCCGAAGAAAAAGAATCACACTCGAGTAGTTAAAAATCACCTCATATCACCTTATTTTGTGAACTTCCGCCCTCATTTAATCATCGATCTCACACCCAATTACACCATCCCCCTGGCCCCTTTTCAAGAATCTTAAATACACTACTTATATTTGGACCAAACAAATGAAATGAAAATTTGACATGAAAATTTGTATCTATTTCAAATGTAAAAGTCTATGCATGCTACCCATCTACTTTCATTACTGTAGTGTTAATAGCCTAGTTACCTCCCTTGCTATACCAAAAGATATAGGACCTTGACACCTAGTCATATGTAAAGCTGCTCTCCCACCTAGGTTTATTTATTTATTTAAGAGTCGTACAATTTCTACGAGTTAAAACTCGTGATCTTTGGAAAGGACCTATACGAGCTTATTACGTGTTAGCTACGAGTGAGGTACGACTTTATGGAGTTGGTTACGAGTTATGTACGAATTATGCCGAGCAGAGCATCGAGTTAACTACGAGATTATTAAGAGCGTAACAAGTTTGTACCGAATTAGATACGAGTTAGGTACGAGCCAACTCGGTGCGCTCGTACTTACTCATACTCGTTTCGGGGTGCTCGCATCAAACTCGTAGATGACAAAACCGCCGACGAGTATCCAGAGTAGTGTAGGAGCACCCCGAGTACTCTACGAGCTACCTATGAGTTCTTCGAGTTTACTACGAGTTATCTACTCGTGGCGATAATTTTGAACATGTTCAAAATTAGCGCCACGAGTTCAGAGCTGCTACGAGTAGGTAATAGTCCTCTCCGAGCTTCCGAATCGTCCTACGAGTTTTTGCCGAGTTTACCGAGTTAGCAACTCGGCATTCTCTTGTAACTCGTATACTGAAAAAAACCCTAGTGGGAGAGGGGCTTAATTAAGTTACATTGTTATTTCAAAAATTAGCCATTAATGCTTTATAGTTAAAATTAAAGTAGAGTTGAAATTAAACTCTAAGTTACAATTACAATCATAATTATAATTTGCTTTTGTTACTACAAAACTCCAGATTGACCAAATTCAGAATATGTGCAATTTAATATTTTGATATTGCTTGTTTGCTGTAGCAATTATTTTCTGACAATTATTATCGGATCAGCAACATGAAAATTGTGAATCTAAAATTTGGCCTAGGCCTAGATAGGAGTATGACTATATTTTTTAGATATCATATAGGCCTAATTTATGGCTATTTTACATTTGTTAGTGGCCAATTTGTGTATACTAATAGAATAGGGGTGCAGGTCAACTCGGCCACAAGTCAACTCGGCCACAGTCAACTCGGCCACAAGTCAACTCGGCCACAAATCAACTCGGCCACAAAAAGTTCGGCTGCAGTCAACTCGGCCACAAGTCAACTCGTTTATGCATAAATAGGAGTATTTTGCAGAGGGAACCTGTGAAATCGGGTGAAAATTACATTCGATCGAGAGAACTGGAGATTTGTGACATATCGGGTGACACCTGACAGGATCGGATGAGTTGGCAAGTAAAATTCTGATCATCGTCACATCGTCGTGAGATCGTTGTATACATTTCTTAACACTGTACTCTTATTCAACAGAGAAAACCTGCCACTTACAGAATGGAATAAAATCTGACAATTGTAACATTAAAAATTTAAACAATTTTAATAACTAAGAAAAACACATATATTAATGTTTAATTTTGTTCACGTTAAAACACTGACATAAAACATGAGTACATACTGTAGACCTAATCATAAAAAATTGAAATAGAAAAACCACATTATGATT